GAGTGTGGTAGAAATTGCAGCTTGTGGGTTGACACAAGTGGTAGTTTTCATCCAAGTTCAGTCTATGTGTACTGTAACTTCTTGAACCAAGGAGATGTAAATATTTGTAAGGCAGCATGACACTATAAAAGGCCTAAAACTATTTATGGTGCCCAATCTTGCTGGTCACAGGGATTGCTTAGACTACTGCTTTTTCAATGTGACAATGTTTAGTGGAAGCTATGAACAGCTAAGCCATAAAAACAATGAAGTAATTTTATTTTATATACAGCATAGTAAGATTAAACATGTCTAGCATAAAATGAGAAAAAACTTCAAATTATTTCCGTAGGGGCAAATAAAATAGTTAAGACTGAGCAGAATATTGCTTTGTATACTGCTTTTGTTTGTTTCGGTCTAAAGAAAAAGAGACAGTACAGTTATTAAGATGCATTAGCAGCAGTAACTCAGTTCAGCCTCTCCCTCCACCCTGATTTGTTCAGGAGAGCTTGTTACAAGCAAGAAGAAAATGGTTCCAGGTACATTCTATATCAGCACTTTGTGTTTAGTGGGTCTGTTTTACAATAAAAGACAACCTGAAACTGTTCTTAAGTGTGTGGGATCTTTTGGATACCCTTATTGGAGTTGTGCAGCACCAACTTTGGTGCTGTGTATGCAACCCATACCAGTTTAATGGTAATGATGATAAGGGAAAATAATGCTCATTAACTATTGCTGGTAAAATGTTTAAGAATTTTACTTAGAACACTTTTGTAATCACTAGTTCCTTCCATAATATGCATTACAGATAGTTTTGTGAAAATCATGGCTTTTGATTTTTGAAAATCTGTGTATCTTCAGTAACAATTTGCAATGTAATCGTTCTGTCAGTGATTTGAAATGTTCAGAACATTAGGTTTTTCCATGTATGTGCATTAACTTTTTCATACTTGCATGCAAGTTAAGCTGAGTAATGTGGCTTAGTGCCAATGTTCACCTTCTCTGTTTTTAAGCAGTCAGAGTGGTTTCTTGCCTCAGGTTAATAGCAATAATAATGTATTTAGAGAATTTTTGCTGCCTTGCACAGAATGCACAGCAACTGTAGGTGTTTCTTCAAAGAGTTTTGTTTTGGTTGTCATGCAAGTTATATGGGTACAGTGTTAAGTTCCCTTAAAGCTTGGAATTCAAGATGAAATTTATACAAACGTGAACCTGTTCCTGTTTCTATAATTGAGAATCACAATGATTTATAAAAATAAATTCCCCATGTGGATTCAAAAGCTAGTTTCGGTGATGTATGTGTTACACCATGAATGTTACAAGTTAATTTTGTTTTCAGACTGGGTTTAGTCACCTCTCTATATCCCAAGGTATTAGTCCATTTTTTCTATTATGCACTTCATCTCACATAATTCCTCTCCATACAATTGGAGCTTACTCCTCTGGTCTCCATCACTTGATTGTAATAGCCAGAAGGAGAGATAAAACTTGTTCAAAGCACGGGAAGGGATAGAAGACTTGAAAACTGTCCAAGTGTTAGACACTGTGGGGTGTGGTACATGTCTTTGTGCTATTATATTTGGGGTTGAAGTACATGTAGAAAGTACCATGACTGTATCTGGAGCTGCCTGTCACTGGTGAGCAGAAGAATAGTCTTAGAATTTTGTTGGCATAACAGTTTGAAGTTCCCTATGCAAAGTATATTTACACGGTTTGTATTCAGGGTGAGTTTGGTGGAACTTTGATGGAAGATACTTCCTTGTGTGCTTTCTAGGAAACATCTGATCTGTTTTGATTGTCTATGAGTGCATACGTTTGGCTGGAAAAAAATTCCAATGCTACTGCACTGGAACAGGGACTTAGAATTTGATTGTGTCCTTTCTGTGCATGATAAGTTGTTTGCCTTTTGTTCTTGTGGTAAATCCTCATCAGATATAGGCCTAAAGAGTCTGAAGTTGGGTGGGAAATCCAGGCTTTGGGACATCTCTCTCTTGTAGGAAGTGAATCAAGACTGGTAGGGAGCTCCAGCCTAATGTCTTATGTCATTGTAGGCACCTACCTGATCTTGTACCATTCTTGGTTTTGGTATGAAAAGCAGGTAGGAATTTTTTAACCCCATTTTTCTGATATGCAGGCAGTTCAGTAATCTCACTGCTCAGGTTAAAAATATACATAGTAAAAAAAAAAAAAACAGCTCACAATTGGCTTAATTTATAATTCATGAGTAGAGATATCTCTTGGAAATGTGTCAAACTGTGTCACTTTAGCACAGTTGAAGCATAATTTTCTGGAGAACAAAAATCTTGGGCAGATAAAATAAGATTTTTATCCTACTTCAAAAGAAGCAAGATAAGAATAAGTGAATTAAAAAACAATTCTTAAGGTTGTGCATTTTATGTGTGAATTAGACTTAGCAGTTGCCTGACATTTTTTTGTTGCTTATTTCCCTTTAGATTCTGGTTCTTTAAATTCGCAACTGCACTTGCAATTAGTGTTGGAGCTTTCTTCATACCAGAGGGACCATTTACAACTGGTAAGGGAGTATTGTCTTCCACTGTATCATGGTGCAACCATAATTGGTTTTAAAACAAAAGTAATTGCATGCTGATGTCTTAGAGTTTTAATTGTAGCTGTGTAACTATAGCACTTGTCTGTGTTTAGGGACATTAAGACAGGATGGTAAATATCTGTGGTTCTTAACAGGTTTTGTTTTATTTCTCTTTTAGTGTGGTTTTATGTAGGTATGGCTGGAGCATTCTGCTTTATTCTTATTCAGCTGGTCTTGCTAATTGACTTTGCCCACTCCTGGAATGAATCTTGGGTAGAAAAAATGGAGGAAGGAAACTCAAGATGCTGGTATGCAGGTAAAGAAAGGACTGTACTACAGCAAGTTTTAAATTGCATTTAATATTCATTATGTTAAATAGGTTATTCACTGAGCGGTGCATCTTACCAGGGTGTAGAAGGGGTGCTTCATGCCCAAGTATCATATTCTCAGATAGTGTAGTTCAGCTCCATTGCTGTCCTGATGTAGAGTTAAATCAAGAGGAGCAGGGAGGGCAGCAGCAGCCCCTGAGTAATGATTTCTAATCCCTGAGAGCAGGGCATCAGTTTCACTGAATCTCAGAATGCTTAAGGCTGGAAGGGACCACAGTGGGTCATCTGGTCCAACCTCTGCTCAGGCAGGGTCATCCTAGAGCACATGGCACAGGATTGCATCCAGGCAGGTCTTGGATATCTCCAGTGACGGAAAATCCATGACCTCTCTGGGCAATCTGTTCAGTGCTTGGTGATCCACACAGTAAACAAGTTCTTCGTACCCGGGTGGAACTTCTGTGCATCATGATACTAGAGAAGTGGCAACTGCAGGTTTTGGTTTGTTGGGATTTTTCAGCCACAGGTTTTGTTACACCTTTAGTGCTGAGTAAAAACACACTAGCCTGCTAGTACTTCATTTTGAGCATAACCATCTCAAATAATTGTTTCTTCTGTCTGCCAGTCAGTCATTCTTCAAAGGTATATGCTGAGTGAAAGGCTAAGATGGTGAAGGAAGAGTATAAGTCATCTCACTGGAGAAATGATAACTTATTTTAGTACAGCGTTTGGATGTGATAATTTAGGTGTTTCAAAAGCCAACATGGCCTGTCTTTGTTCAGTGGCCACTTCCTATTTAATGGTTTTACTGAGATGTAGTTTGGAAATAAGATTCTGGTTTTAATTCTGTTGGAGAAGTATTTACTCAGTTTCTTTTTTTAGCTCTTAGCCAAAGTGTGCTTTTCCTGGTTGCTCTTAGAGCACTGGAGAATCGAGTATGGCTTGAGGATTCCCATGTCTTGTGTCTTTCTTTTTAACATGTCAGTGTACTGAGAGCAACTTCTTTGGCATTTCAGTGCCCAGAGCTGCTCTCTAATTGTCCTTGTATAATGTATCCAAAACCTGATACATGCAATATTATTCCAGTCGTCTGTGTTATTAACCAGTTGAACTGTGTTTTTTGTCTCTTCACAGCTCTGCTGTCAGCCACGGCTGTCAACTATCTGCTGTCTCTTGTAGCTATTGTCTTGTTTTATGTTTATTACACTCATCCAGAAGGTTGCTCTGAGAACAAGACATTCATCAGTGTTAATATGCTGCTGTGCATTGGTGCATCTGTAATGTCAATTCTGCCAAGGATTCAGGTATAGCTCTAATTTTGTTATCTCTTTGGGGGTTTTTGTGTTGTCATAATATAATTATGCCCGAGACTTTTAATTGTCTAACTTTCCTGTTTTGTGACTCCTTTGTACAGGAATCTCAGCCACGGTCTGGTTTGCTGCAGTCTTCTGTGATCACAGTTTATACAATGTATTTGACTTGGTCAGCTATGACCAATGAACCAGGTAAGTGTGGCAGCTTTTTGGGTAAACAGCAGTAAACTGCATCTTCACCAGCAGTAGAATGGAGTACTAGAATGCAGCAGGCAGAGCTCACTAGTGTGTATTCTCCTCAGCCTTCTGTAATAGTACTGAGGAAATGGTTCTTCAATAGGTAACATGTTTTTCACATGGTCTGGAAGAATTTCTACCTATTCTGGCAGGACTGCAGTATTGTAAAGCTTAGGTTTTACAGATGACTGTAACTCCTTTGAGGTGTCTGGGAGGTTCATCTCCCTCCCTTATGTGACTGAGATGCTACTGATTTATATTTTTCCTAACTGAGGATTTAAAAAGTATTAATAAATGTTGCCATTGTTTCTTGTGTCTGAAAACAGCTGAGCATCTCTAAAAATAAAAAAATTAATCTAGAAATGCTGGCAATTAAAATAAATTGCTAAATATTGACTTTGGTGTTTTTAATTGAGTTTCTGACCCTTTTATCTTAATTATGACCAATCTTATGTGCTTCTGTGTAGCAGCATACATGAGTCACATCTAATTCCTACAGTAATTAGGAGGAAATAAGATTGTCTACTACTTTGAGCTCTGTTATCTGTGGGTGCTGTGGGTTGGGGATTGCTGCTAACGTGAAACTGACTTACTAGCATTGTTTTCCAGCCCTGAGATGACTCTGGTACCCCATCTATAGAATGTATGTTTGTCAAACTTGTTTTCTAGTGGTAGAGTGTCTAAAGCTTAATATGCAAAGATTTTTATTCTGTTGCATCTAATTATATGAGATTGAACAGTAAAGCAGTTGATGCACATCGTAACATAAGTTTAAAATCCTTTTGTCTGCTGAAAGATTTTCATGCCACATATTATTATTTGCCTTTTTTAGAGAGGCTCAGTAGGCTAAAATTAGATTCAAAGCTGTTTTATTTCAAGACTGCCACAGTCACGAAGTTCCTATTACTGTGCATTAGGTATGGAAATGTGCTATTTGGCCTGTTCTTGTTTTTATGTAAGCTCTAATGTGATTTCCCTCACAGACAGGCACTGTAACCCAAGTTTGCTGAGTATCATTGGTTACAACAGCACCACCATTCCAGCCCAAGGTCAGGTCGTTCAGTGGTGGGATGCACAAGGGATTGTAGGACTGGTTTTGTTTTTGCTGTGTGTTCTCTATTCAAGGTAAGATTCCTTAAAAAAAAAAAAGATCTATTCGTTTGTATTACTTCTCATTGTTGGATAGTAAATTGTATTTGTTTGGGTAACTCGACCATGTCTTTCCTGTCAAATACAGCATCCGAACATCCAACAACAGCCAAGTGAACAAGCTGATGCTGACCAGTGATGAATCAACACTGATAGAGGATGGAATGCCCAGGAGTGACGGCTCCCTTGATGATGGAGATGATGTTCACCGAGCCATAGATAATGAGAGGGATGGAGTTACTTACAGTTATTCCTTCTTTCATTTCATGCTTTTCCTGGCATCACTGTACATTATGATGACACTTACCAACTGGTACAGGTATTTGCATCCAATAATATGTCGTGCTAATAATGAGCTTACAAGATGCCATCTTTTGCTGGACAAGGAGGCACAAGTGTGTGCTTGGAATGTAGGTCTTGAATGGACCTTCTCAAGGGAAGTATACTGTTTGAGGTATATTGAGTGAATGGCATTTGAAAATTTGGGATAGCCAACCTTGTTCACAGGCAGCTGTCATGTTTTATGGGTTAATTCTCATGATTCAGTGAGCTGCTGAAATATGTCCTACTGGAGTGAACAGAAGGAGGTCTTAAATTCTATAATAACAAAAGATAATAAACACTAGGCCCATGTCTGGTACAGAGAGCTAAAAACCAAGAAATAGGAACATGTCAGCAGGTCAGGGGGGAGGTGTTCCTTCCCATCTGCTCAGCACTGGTGACTCCATACCTGGAGTGCTGGGTCCAGTTCTGGGCTTCCCAGGACAAGACATGGACATACTGGAAAGAGTCCCACAAAGGGCCACAAAGATGATGCAGGGACTGGAGCATCTGTTATATGAGGGAGGCTGAGAGAGCTGGGACTGTTCAGCCTAAAGAGAAAGCTCATACTCTTAAGTATTTTTTGTGCTGCTGTTGTCTTTCACCATCCTGTGAACACCAACTTAAAAATGGTGTTCTGGTACACACTGATGTGAACCACCCGGAAGAAGGGTAGAGGTGTCCTTTGAAGGGTGAAATGAAAATCATCTACTGTGATAACAGTGTGGAAGGGTGGCTTAATACACAAGTATGTCATATTGAAACAAAAATTGCAAATTATCTTCTTTTCCTTGTTTCACAGTCCGGATTCTACTTACGAGACAATGACCAGCAAGTGGCCATCTGTCTGGGTGAAGATATCTTCCAGCTGGATTGGCATCGTGCTCTATGTGTGGACTCTGGTTGCTCCACTGGTTCTTACAAACCGTGATTTTGACTAAGCTGTTCTGCTCTCTAGGGAGACTTTGTTAGCTTCACCATGTCTTGGAAACAAACAGTATTCCGGATAATAGTGCAGTTGTAAATATGTGTGTGTGTGCGTGTGCTGTCCACGTAGTATTATCCTGCTTTATTCTGCATGATTACCTTGAATCATGTCTTTTGTCATTTCACTAAATGACTTTTTATAGCTGAGCTCAGTGACAATTGCTGTAATGATGGTTTCCATAGGATTACTCCTAGATTGAGTGCTTCAGGAGCATTAGCTGTAAGGTCAAGAACTTAGGGAAATATGCTTTCCCCCCCTCAATTGCATAAAGTAGTTGTAGGAAAAAAGTGCAAGTGTTAATTAGGGTAACTAAACAGTGCTAGGTCAGGCTTTGCAAGTAAAGGAGGGGCTGCCTTTGATGATCCCTGTTGCCTTGATTCCAAAGTAAGCCTTGAGTAAGCATTGTGGAGCACATTGGAGTTTACTGGATGTCTTGCAGCACTTTGTCACTAACAGCCTGACCTTTCCCGTGCCGAGGGCAGCAGTACCTTTAGCACAGTGAAGGATGGGGAAACTTGCACCTGGAGCTGCAGAGGAGCCAATGTCCTTCATGGTGCTGCTGGGTCCAGTGTGTCCCATTGCAGACAGGACAGGCAGCCCGGGGAAAAACATCCCGGTGTCAGATGCTCAGAAGCATGTTTTTAAGGCACCTGTTTACAATGTGCATCTATGTATTATTTTTCTGAAGTAGTTTAAATGGGATAGCTGTGCTGTAATTTATTGCTGTTTTGTGTGCCACTTTCTTCTTGGCTAAGCTACAATCACAGAGTTTGCAAGGAGCCAAGTGGTGAAAACTGTGTAAGCCCTTTCAAGGGATTTTCTTGAGTATTGTGGTTAAAAAAGCAAAGGAAAAGGAGCACTGAAATTGCAGTAAATAAAGGAGGAGACTTGCATTTACTGAGGCTTCAACGAAAGTGTTTCTTAAAATATTTGGGGCTCTAAATCTTGAAATCTTTTATGTATGTAGGTATTTTGCTTGTTGTCCATTGCCGGAGATGGACTTGAGCCTAGACAATCTAAATCTAGGCATGAGACATGAATCTGTTTGATTATAATACTATCTAGTTCCTGTGCAGTTTTGAAATCTTAAATGCTTTTGTGCTTGCTGCTTTGTAACTGAAGTACATAAGCTGCATTATTTATCTGTTACTTGCTACAACTTGAGACTAGAGCAGCCTGACTGGGAGTGACCCTGGAGCCTGCAGCAGATGTCATGCTCATCTTTTACTGTGGTGTTTGTAACTGTGACTTCCTGTTGCTATTCTCTAAACTTTTATTTTAATTCTGCACCTGAACACTGACCTTTACTGAAAAAGTCTGACATGTCAGGCAAATTTGAGATGGTAATGGAAGGATTAGTAAACGCTTGTAATAATTTGGAATATGTTGTTACCTTATTAATAAATAAATTTGGATGAAGATGTCCTGTGACTTTTGATGTCTCATAGTGCTGCCAAATATGGCTAGCGCAGGGGTTTGTTTGTATTTTCACCTCCAGTTCCTGGGATGTTTTATAGCACTCTCAGATTCTGCTCAGGTGGCCAAGAAGGCCAATGGCATCCTGGCCTGGATCAGGAGCAGTGTGGTCAGCAGGACCAGGGAGGTGATTCTGCCACTGGACTCGGCCCTGGGTGAGGCAACACCTTGAGTACTGTGTACAGTTCTGGGCCTCTCAGTTCAGGAAGGATATTGAGGTGCTGGAGCAGGTCCAGAGAAGAGCAGTGAGGCTGGTGAAGGGACTGGAGCACAAGTGCTATGAGTTCAGCCTGGAGAAGAGGAGGCTCAGGGGAGACCTTATCACCCTCTACAACTACCTGACAGGAGGTTGTAGTCAGGCGGGGGTTGGTCTCTTCTGCCAGGCAACCAGCAGGAGGACAAGAGGGCACAGACTCAAGTTCTGCCAGGGGAGGTTTAAGTTGGATATTAGAAGAGATTTTTTACAGACAGTGATCAGGCAGTGGAATGGGCTGCCCAGGGAGGTGGTGGATTCACCATCCCTGGAGGTTTTTAAGAGGAGACTGGATGTGGCACTTAGTGCCATGGTCTAGTAACCACAGTAGGGTTGGACTCAATCGTGGGAGGTCTTTTCCAACCCAGCTGATGCTATGATAGTGCTGCAGAGCACACCTGTAAGGCAACAAATCCCTGGCTCTTTGGGAGATCACATGTAACCCCCTGGGTGAAGTTCTCACTTTGCCCGTTGCAGCTGTTTCTGCAAACACAGACATGGCTCACAGCTGTAGCTGCATTCCCACTTCAGCAACTGCTGCCACTGCACTGGATTGCACCTGTTCAAATTTCAGTCAAACACCTAAACACCAGTTCTACTACAGCAGCTCCTGAGTCCTGTAACAAGCAACTAGAGTCACTGAATTTAGGAGATGAACAGTGATGGCTATGGATTCAGCTCCTGGTACAAATGGTCAGACTATTCCTTTGGCAGGGGAGGAAATTTTGAGTTGTTTTTCATGTTACATCTATGAAGTTAACTGAAATCCAGTTTGTCCATTCACTGGGCCATCCTGCATACTGGAGTTTCTCAAAACTTCCTACTAATAGCTTTGAGGGCAGTTGCAGTTTGACTTAGTGTTTCTATGAGATCAGGGGATCTAGTTAAATTTGTGTCAGCTTTCCCCCCTTCACCTGGCAGTGTAGGAACACTTTGGCTGTGGCTATGTAACATGACCACAGGCATTCACTGCACCAGGCAGGGTCAGGGTGTGCAGCAAGGGACACTCCTCTGAGTGGGGTAGGTCTCCTCCAGGGGGAGGAAAGCAATGGGGCTCTGCAGAGTTCTTGGATATCAAGGACTAAACATCCTTTTGTGTACTACTGGAAAACAGTTTGCTCTATCAGACACTTGGTTTTGGAGGCTTATAAACCTTGAAAGTTTGGAGATAATGAAACTACTTGATAATAATCATGCACAGAAACAGACTTCCTTGCACAGCTACTAAGAAAAGTCAGCAGTTGTTAAATCCATACCCACCAAGCACACACAGTAAGAGACAAACTCTTAGCAAGTATCACACTTAAGTAACATTTATTTTACCAGCATAGATGGTCCAAGTTAAAAGTACTCATGCAGTCATGGGGCCTGGCGGCTGTCAAGAACTTTTCCCCAGTTTGTGCTATGTGTGAGCACTTCCACTGAAGTGAAAGTAAGGCAGAACCAAGATTTAGCAAGGTACAGGCACTTTGCTCCCAGTTCAAGCAGGGAAAAAAAAAGCCTACATCAGGTTCTGGTCCTCCCCACTCAAAAAAAAAAGCCTCATGTTTGTTAAACAAAATGTTGTAAAAAAAAAAAAAAACCCACAACAAAAACCCCAAACCTACAGAAAGTCAGTGCTCCATAACCATACACTACTAGTTTATGCCATCATATATAAGACCAGAAGTATAAGAAACCATAACCCAAAGCTTACACTACTGACATGTTTGGTTACCTGGGGTACTCAGCCATGTGTGTAATACCAAGTGTTCACAGCAGTGCAGCAGTCTGAGCTGGCACTGCCAGCCGTGCCTGGCAGCTTCTCTAACTGTGGAGTTAAACAATTGCTTGTAGGAAGTAACATAGGAAAGGTACTTTAGATTCCACGTATCTGGTTACATAAAACAGTGATTTACAAAAAACTCTCATACCAAACAGTATTCTAAATAAATAGTTCATCTTCATGACTATATACAGAGTCCCCTCACATCAGTTATCCAAAAAGGGCATGTCTGTGTCCATGGGTGCTGGGGCGAGTTGACAAAGGTAGAACAGTGTGGCTTCGCTTGCCTCGGCCTCCGTCAGTGGCTCCAGCCGCACCAGTTTGCTCTGGGTGGGCTCGGGATCCAGGCTGCTCTCCAGGAGCTCATCCCCTTCCAGGCATTTGTCAACAGAGGAAGGAGTTTCAGGTGTGAAGCTCCCGCTCTCAACAGTAGAGCCTGGGTTTCCATCAAGGAATGCAAGGAGTGGAAACACAGTGTAATGTACCAGCTGCTTGTCTAAGGGGAAAACAAATGCCCAGAACATCAGTTCGCATGACCTTCTACATGCACGAGGCAAAACCAAAATCCAACCCACAGTATTTATTTAAAAGAAAATTAATAAGAAACATTATAGGTGTTTCAGTGTGTTCTTAAAGAACTGTTCCATTCATGCATATCATCATTTGTACAGATTCTCCTGCAAAAACATCAGTTTCTCCACATCTGATCCAGTGCCAAAAACCTGAAAAGCAATATACTAAGTATTTTGTTTTGGTTACTTGTTTATCAGCATAACACCAAACCAGACAAAGAACAAATCAGAGATGGCTTTAAGAACAACAGGTGTTCAACTGTGGAAGTGTTTAAAGAAACCACTACAACTAACCTGATCTGGGCTTAGACTCTTGTGTTTCCTCTGAAGCAGCTGGACCAGCATTATTCTTGTTCGTTTCTATTTCCTTTGTCTCCATCTGGGAACAAAGCAAACTCTTACATACATGCTAAATAAAGGCTGTTCCAATGCCAATGGAACACAGCTGACCAGCTATTAAAAATGATTACATTTTTATTTGTGAAGGGATGCAGTGGCATTGTCAGCACTACTCATGCTAACAGGCCCTGGCTGAGAAAATGTGAAATGGAAAAACAGGCTACAACGCAAGAACCAGAACTAATGTTTGTAAATGAACAGGACAAATTCCAAGAGCTAAAGCTTTACTCCACTGCTTATTCTTGTCTTTCTTTTCCCACCAGACAACACAGATGGAACCATTCTGACAAAGCGCACACCACACTAAAAATCTTAGGGGATACAAAAGTCAAGATACTGGTACAACATACAGATATTGGCCTCATGAGTTTTAAAGACATTATTCATTAGTGTGCTTTTCCTTTTGCTGTGTAAAGCCTAACAAACAGGACAAACTCATTCTCAGAAAGTCCTCCTATTCTCATGAAAGTCTTAAAAGCCAGACCATGAAAAAAGTGCCATGATACCAGTAAAGAAAATAGCAAAGGATGAGTGAAGTTTCCATCTCTCACTACTGTACATTGAGCAACGGATTTAGGACTTACTTTGATATTAGTGATATGATCATGATCTGTGGGATTCATCTGCACAGAGCTTGTAAAAAGCTGAAAAAGACAAAACACATCAAGTTTCAGGTATCTCAATGTTGCTATTAAGAATACAAGATCACTGGATCTGCATGTGTGAGAATAACCCCTGTACCTACTGCACCCTTTATTGAGGACTGGAGATTACTTTTTATTTACAGGGAGTTACCACTTTTGCAAAGAAAACCCAGCTTTAGAGCACAATGGTTTGGAATTCCATGAACCTCAGTCAGAAATGAAACAACTGTATTGTCTCTAACATGGTTTGCTGTAATCCTAACATACCCCATTTCTTCTTACATTGTTGCATGAATAATTGTGTGTACAATATGGACAAACACACCCCACTCAAGTCGGCAAGTGACACCAAACTGAAAGGAATCATCAGCACATGAGAGAGCAGAGCTGCAGTTCAGAGGGATCTCAGCAAAGTGGGAGAAGGGCCAACAGGCACTCCACTAGGTCAAACAGCCACACATCTTCAAGACCCAGTAACCTCATGCACTGGCCCAGGTTAGGGTTAGGGCACAAATGGACAGGGAGAAGCTCCTTGGAGAGGGAACATAGGAGACAACACCCTGCCACAAGCAGCAGCACAGCCTCACTAGAGGGAGGCAAGCTCTGCTATGGGCAGGCCAGCCAGGACATCACTGGAAGTGATTATTTCTCTCTGCACAACACTGGAGGCCACCTGTGGAAGTGTCCAGCTTTAGGCCTCCCAGCACAAGAGTCTGCAAACCATAGGGCCACATATTTGGGGATTGAAGACATGCAAGAGGCTGAGGGAGCCTGGCCAATCCTGTCTGAGAGGGAATTCAACTGCACTCTTCCACTGCTTCTAAAGATGTGTTGTTGAGAAGACAAACTCCACATTGTGAGAGACTGAAATGTTAAAGGATAATGACTCAAACAACCAGCTCTTTGCTAAAGCAGCAGGGTGCTTTGCTGGAGCCAGGTTTGCAACCCCCAGCTCAAGTGGAGGAGGACAGTTTTTTGGGGTGTGGTGGCCAAACCTCTGATCTGCATAAGAACAGCCCAGGTGCAGGAAGGGGTGTGCACCCATCACTGGAAGATGACACAAGCTGGTTTTGAGCCACATAAGGGAAAAGGCCATTAAGATGCAGACCCTTTGAGGTGGGATAATGCTTTTCATCCCACCAAGTTCCTTCCTTACACAAGTGAAGCAGGTGTAAAACTTTGCCCCCCCCTCCAGGGGGAGGTATCACATTCACATGTAGGCCTGAAGGTATTCATCATCCCTCTGATAATGCACAACTGGCTCACCTGGTGTAAGAAACAGCACTCATGTCTTAGAAGGTATCATTAAACCATCAAATACCTGCAAAGGGCCCCCAGGGTCATTTCTGCTGCCTTCCACCAGGACTGCTCAAGATCCACAGTGTTGCATCAGATGGTGTAAAACTCCCCTCCAAGGGAGGTACCTGAGCCCTTCCACCTGAACCTGAGTGTGTATTAACCCACTGAACTTTTTGTTTCATGGGCATCCCCCACCCCTGACAGATCTAAGACTACAACCATTCCTGCAACCAACAGACACCTAAATTGCAACAATCAAGTCACTGGATCCATAGGTGATGATACCTTCCCCCTCCATTATCTACTCTTATCCTTTATTTCTTCCTTATATATTTTCTTAAATGAAAATTTTAAACCTTTATATTGTTGTCTTTCTATGGATAATAACCGAAACAGCTACACAGCTCCTTTTCCACTGCATTGTTCTAGAGTAAACTTGCCACATATATATATACACACACACACACTGGTCACTCAGTGTTGTCTCACTCTAATCCACCCCCAGTTATCTATTAACAAGAACCTCAGTTACACTGCCTCGGGGGAAGGGACACAGGTGGACGAAGGACAAGCTGCAAGAGCTGCAAGTGCAGCAGGGAAAACTATGACTGATACAAGGAAATTCTTCACTAAGAACAGTCAAGCCCTGAACATGCACCCAAGAGCCCATCCTTGGAGATTCTGGAATTTGATTAAACAAGATCCAGAGCAACTTTCAAGTTGACCCTGCTTTGAACACAGGGGCTGGACTGGATGACATGTACAGGCCCTTTCCAACCTGGACCATTCTACTTCACAAAAACCTGAAGAAAACAGCCTGAAAAAGGCAGGGGAACTTGTGAAATAAATGCCAAGAGCCTTTTTAACCCCAGTTCATTGAGAAGACCACAGATGATGTGCTGGGTTAATTCAAAGCAGAAGAATTAATCTAATTAATGTCTAAGTTCATGTTGCAACATACATAAGCATTATTTCATTAAGAAAGTCATTCTTCAATAAGAAACTTAAGCTTTCACTTGTGCAGTGATGTAACACTGAGAATTATACCAGTGCTCCAGAAACATATTCATAAATATTTTTAACTTTGCTTTAGTCAAGGGAAGAAAGGAAAATTATAAAATCTGTTGTGTTTTAAACCATTCTAAATATTCTAAACAGTAACAACACACACGAATGTTTTCTAGCATATTACCAAAATACTTAAAAGTCACAATTACATCAACCAGGAGATCTGGATCTATGCTGAACTGTCGTCCTGATAACATAGCTTGAAAGTCCTCTAAACTGCAGTCGATACTGTCAAGATAATCCAGAAGTTCAACTCTAGAAGACAAACAATATTTTACTGCTGTATCCCATAACAAAATAACAGAAATCCTCAAGTAAGCTTTATACAGATGTACTACATGCATCTAAAAATCCTCACCAGAACTAGAATGAACTAAGTCTTTCATTTGAAATGACCTCTGGAAAAAAAAACCTGAAAACTTTAGCTTCTTTAGAGGAGAACCAAAGTAAACCAGAGAGGTGTTTTGAAACAGGTATAACAGGAACTGCATCAACACTGACAACATTAGCAGAGATGCAATTCTTGCACCCACATAGCCCTAGTAAGTCCCATCTGTCTGCAAGTGACACAAATAAGTCCTGAAGTTTAAACAATGATGATAACACTACACTGCCACATTATGAATCCCAGCTTGCTTCACAATGAAAATCAGAGGTTGCATCTTAAATTACATTAAAAAGAACAATCCTTAGAAACCAGTTAGAATAAGTGACCTATTAAGTTCTCAGTTCAAACTACTCTTCAGTTCTTTCCACTTGAGTCAAATAATCAGTCCTAAGACTTGAAAAAACAAGAGACCAGACTACTCACTTTCCAAGAAGATTTATATTCGATGAAATTACTCCATTCTCACTGAGTATGGAATCCATCACTGAGACTGGATCTTCTGCAGTTAAAGTTGACTGGGTATTCAGCTGTACAGCACTTGACATGAGTGGGCTTGGGCTGTCACCAACAGGGCTGACTGGATCATTACTTGGAACAGCAGTTTTATACCCCTGAATTACAGGGGCATATTCATCTTCATTATCGTCTTCCACAGTTACAATGTCAGGAGAGTGATAGCTGCAACTCCAGCTGTAACACAAGAGAAATTAACTTCATACACTCATTTCAATTGGCACTATTACACAGTCTTACTTCTCACTTTAGTCAAGCTACTATAAGGAAATAAACTTTCCTACTGCTTTTTAGCACTAAACACAGAAAGATACTCTAAATATGTATTTTCTGTTTACATGGTTCTGTAATGCTCGATACAGCTCATGGAGCTCAGCTGGAAGACACTGTTCCTAGACCACAACCACCAACTACTAAAAAGCTATAGGAACGCTGCTATTTTTTGCATTAGAACTATAAGCTCACATAAAAAAGTCAAGTATGTACGAAGTAGACCAAAGCACACAAGGCCACCAAACTGGACAGACAACATATGTATTTTGCATCTTTCCTCTTGAACAGAATCATCTCTGGAGCATCTGTAACACAGAGGACCTTAGCTGACAGGTTTGTATTTAATTAACCTTGTTATGTATACCAGGAACAAAACCCGGAAACCAAGAGGGAGCCTCAACTCATTTGCTTTCATCCATATTCTGGTTCTTAACCCTTCATTAGCTGTTAGTTATGCTGCCTCTCTATCACAGTCTTGTCCTCATGAAGCTTTTCTATCACAGAATGCATTCCAGGACATCAGCTGAGCAAGAACAATGGTACCAGTTTGAGTGTAAGCTAGAAATACCTAAGTTTTATTCCTTGGAGGCGTAACAGGAGGCTCTATCAATCCAATGCAACTCAGGAGAAGAGTTGCATTTCAATCCCTGGGCCAAGTTTCAACTTGCTCATAGGTGAAAGATGAACTACTTCTACACTACTAGAGTATAGACAGGAAGGAACATAGTTTCAGGGGGGGGTTTTTTCAGTCCCAAGTATTTTGTGACTAACTGGCTGAATGAACTTCAAATACCACACCAACACCCAACAAACAGCACATGTAAATTATTCTCCACAAAAATCTGGAAAAACAAGGAAAGTCATTCCTATCTGTACTCCTAACCAAAACTAAGAAGACATCACTTACTGTGTCTTTGAACAAGGAGTATATTTAACAGAAGTGCAATAATATAGATTGTTTTCACCAGTTTCTATCTATACTCTGCATAATAAAACTCCAACAGCCAACTGGAACAAATCCAGAGGTAAATATATCAAAACCCACTGCAAATTCACAGATGAAGCTCCATGTGAAGAAGTGATTAATAATTCTGACTTCATTTAAAAAAATTACCTAAGACATCCAAATTATTGCACATTATACAACACCGAAAGGCTTCTTACTTGGAAGAATCTGAAGCTGTATCTTCATTTGCTTCTGGTGTAATGGGAAGATTTTCTTCATCACCCATGGGATTTTCTTCATCACCCACATCCTCAGTGACATCGTAAATAACAATGTCATCTGAAAGCTGTTCCCTTTGTTTTAAGCCCTCATTTCTCTTGAGAGGTACCTGTAAATTATTTTTAAAGGAGTCAGTGCACAGAAGGACAATGAGCTTCAGCATTTTGACAGTTGTCATTGTATCTGAAAATGCTTCAAATCTAAAGAAGTCTAAGAGCTTTCCTACACCTTGGAGATTACAAGCTATTTGTATAGATCTATGTTTAATAGAAAATGCCATACAAATAAATGAACAAGCTGAAGAATAGCAGCTTCAAGAAAAAAGTTTGGCAAATACTACAGGCATAGAAATAAAAATATACTTGCACTGTCAGCAAATACAACAAAAAGAAGCTGCAAAAACATGACCACGCAAGAACTAAAAATATTAGAAGAGTGATTGCTGTTTAAACAGTACTTTGTTATGAAGCTACTAATTTTAAAGCCATGCTACAGCACTTGTTTTAATCACTTCCCCACCATTATTTGGACAGCAGAAAACAACTTTCAGTGGTGTGACTCATTCAAATGGCACAGGAACTTGCCATGATTTTGCTGGTTTGCATGCTGCCCTGCAGAGCAATACACTGGACCCTTGTCTCTGTACGGGGCTTGGGGCACCTCACTCCCAGAGGTAATAATACAACAATACATATGCTACTTGTAACAGCACTTCCATTACAAGCAAACTGCTTCCAGTAGGAACACATCAAGCTGTATTTAATCCACAGGTAACTGGTTTATACATGCTTCTATTGAGAAGTAAATCATCATCCACACATTTGGCTTCTGAAGGAAACACAATGTGGCCTATCACTTCTACAGGTTGACAGCTCTCAGTACACAGCTGTTTTATCCCCCATGAGACAATCACCTTGAACTGCCTGTTCCCCTGCACCCTCCTCTCTTTCATCATAACAGAGTATGCATAAAGGAAAACTTACATGGTGGCTACTGTCAGCTGGTTCTTTCACAATTTTCTGAAATACATTCGATTTTGTAGGTCCATTAGTGTTCAGAAGTAGAGGCCTACATTAGAAAGAGTGAGAGAAGAAAGCCATCTCAAAACCACTTCTTTGGTTTTAGCCAACAAGCATGTCAGTATACTGACTGCACAGCAAGTTTTCAAGATCATATTTACCTCTTGCGTTTTAGGCTCACTAGTTGGTTATTCTGCACCAAGGTAACAATGAATTGTACAATCTGTAAGGGAAAACACACTATTAGTCACTCTACTTTGTAGCTGTTTCTCTCATGTACCATGGTATCATATAGCAGAAGACTTTGATAATAAAACCTAAATCATTTTGTGCAGTAATTTTTATAGAGAGCAGTTCAGAAAAGCTAAAAGTCATGGTACAAAATGCTGCTGATAATACCTAAAAAAAAATAGTTATTCAGTTGTCCAAGAAGGGCTTTTCACATTACAGGCAATAAGAGCAGACTTTCACAGGACATCATGCAGTATGCAGAAATACATTCAACAACTCATATCAGAGGAATTCTAATAAGCAATGACAGAAGGCATATAGGGATGTGGATGTATGCATAACCTGGATTTGTAAATACTTGTTCTGGTGAAAGACATTTTTGACAGATTCAGAAAAAAATGCATGTACAATTAACAGTATTCACCAGGTACCTTTCCTTTTGGAATGTTAAGACTTTCTTCCCTTACGGTGAAATTTAAGGATTTAATGTACCTCGCTTGAACAAACTGGGAAAAAAAAATCCGTGAGTCTCTGCTACAGGGCTGCTTTCAGCAACACCCTTCCTCACATGTAAAAAGGAAATAAAATCTGTAAACTCTATGCATTTACACCTGTTCCAGCAGATCACAGATCTAACTGTTAAACTAAGTTAAGCTAACATATTTTCAACGGGTTCCACTCAGTTATCTCTTTCTCTGGTAACTTTAGAAATACACAGTGATCAGTTAAGTGGGACAGCAGTGAATTTCCAATATTGAACTTTGTAATTCTGGCAGTGAGGAAGTTTTTCCTGACATCACCCAACATAGAATATTAGTCATCTGATTCCTAAAGCAATAAAAAAAAATGGATGGATCATTTTAAGAGTACCTTAATGGCTGATGTATGGTGTTCATGAACCTCTTTCTTTGAAAATGCTTTCAAGATTTTGGCCTGATTTTCTGCTTATGCAGTAAAATGCACTACATGCCTGTTTCACTTAGAGCTACTCACCATAAACGACCCTGCTGTTTGTTCTATTAAAGAGACATTGCATTCACTTAAAAAAAGAGTGAAGGCAAAGCAAGGTAACATGTGCCACAGTGTTCCTAGTTCAGAAGCACTCACTCATGCATGTACGACACTTGAATGAAGCCTTACCTTTCGAATAACTTGCTGCTGCTTCAAGTGTTTTGCTCTCAGTTCTGACACTTCCTTCCAAAGGGATTCATTCTCTCTGTTTAAAAATGATGATTTAAAAGTCAAACAAAAACTAAATTATAAAGCATTTATATTTTTGTTAAAAGATTAGCTGGCCTCATTAAAGCTCTTTGAAATGTGTTTTCAGACTGGGGGCTGGGACTGTCAAAGTCAGCAGCCTTGGAAGGTAATTACAAAATGGAGACCCAAACACAACAACTGACCTGCACAGAATTTCCAGCTCCCTTAAAGGAAGTAAAAAATAAATCCCCAAATCTGTCTGTATTTATTACCCATACACTCAGCATTTAAAAATTAACTGTCGTTTCATTTTCCATAACAGAGTTACCTTCTCCTCTTCCTTCTAGGAATTAAATAAAAAAATCCAGCATACAGCCAGTTTCTGGCAGCAGAAGTCCAAACAGTGAAAGAATGTCATTTCCTCTCACCATTAAAACCAAAGTTCTTCACCTATATCAGGTCTCTTTGTCCTCCCTCACACCTTTTGCTACATGCAAGCCACTTGTGAGCACCTGTCCACCCACCTTGAAAGACACTTCCCTACATGCTCTGCTTGTGTGACAGAACAAGCTCTCAAGCCACACAGGCAGCTGTAGGCACCCAACCAGTTGCCCCTATCAGCTCCAGTAAGAAGACATATTAGATGCTAAAAAATTAAATAGAAGCAGCTCAGAGATGGCAGTTTTCATGAAACACTGACATTTTACAGATCTTGGTTGTTCCAGTACTCACAGGAGGTTCAGTTACTGAGACAGTGTAAAAGCTGTCCCTGCTACTGTAACTACGAGCCTCATTGTTTCCAACAGCAAGAGGTAGATAATGAATACCAAAAGCTACAGTGAATAAGGAAAAGACAACACACCACCCTCCTCCTGTTTTGTAGTTTTTTCAACACAGAAAAACAAACTCCACCGGAGTTTGCGCTTTTAGGAAACCTGAAGTTAAGTTTCCAGAAAGAGCTGTTTATGTGAGCTGTGATGCAGGGTATTACTCACCCCTATAACTGCTCCTACGTCCAACACACAATTCCATCACAAAATTAACAACTGAGTTAGGAATTCTAAACTTTCTCCATTTTCCAACTAGCTTTATTAACATGTATAGGACAAGATCTTCTGATTCAGCTTGAGTTTCTACCTCCATCATTTTGAACTCATGGGACAACAATATGGACATCAAAGACATTGTAGAGATTTTCTCACTTCTACAGCCTGTCAGGTCATTAGTGACTGAATGCCATTTCAGTCCAAGTCTGCCCTGCTCTGTGCAGGATTTTGGCCCTGATGGCCCTTTGAAGTTCTTTCCAACCCAGATTTGTCTAGGATTTGAAAAGGGTGAATATGAGCATTTTTGTTCTAGACTGGCCCGATTCTAATAAAGACACTCTCTAAGCAAAATAAATTTGCCTCTGGATATTCTACACCTCAAGTAACTAGAACATAAGACTGGAAATGACAGAATTTACTTCTTAAACCTTGAACTGCTCAGTGCCCTCTGTCACAGAGGTACATCATCACTTACTTTCTCAACGTAAGTTAAGGTGCCCCAAAACACGTAATAATGCAATTCTAAAAATACTCTATTTATATCTGGATTTCAGATGCTGTTCCTCTGCTGCTGAGGTAACTAATGCATTTCTCAACTATGATTTCTAAACACATTTTCTTAGGCATTAACTCTTCTGCAACTTTAAGTACTGGGGAAATGAAGACAACACCACAAAAATGAAAAGCAATGAGCAAAGACATTAATTGTTGTAAGAAAGTATTATATGCAAATTTCACAAACCAAACCCTGAAACTAAACACAGTAACTAGTTCAAACTTGAAGACACAAACCAGCATATTTTATGCTAAGAGCTGATTTGAATATTCAGCCTCAGCAGCATTATGGAACCATTATTAAAGGTGTTATTTAATTGCCCACTACTAGACAGTTCCACGAACACCAGCACTGCATATTACTTTTAACCATATCAGAATATTCAATTTTTAATGCAATTTTTCTATGGAAATTTATGTTCCTAAAGCAATACTTAAAGTTAAGCAATCAGGAATCAAGAAACACCTAAAATTAGGTGTTTGTCTAGTATCTACTGTCACATTACCCAAGATAGGGATCAGCTGCTGATGAAGCAACTTACCTCTTCAAAAGAGACAGCTGAGCTTCAACAGCTGTTTGTTTAGTTTGCACCTTTTGAGCAGTACATATTATTTTTGAGAGATCTTCCTGACGTATCTGGTTTTCTTCAGGTCTCGAAGAACCCTTTAAAAGGCAGGAATCCAGAAACAACAATTCCCCTTATTCATGCTTAACGATTATTCTCTTTTGGTGATCAAGTGTATTTTCTTAGTAGTTTTGACAAACTGTGCATTTAAGTTCATAATAAACAGAGCATCAGAAAGACCCCAAACCCAGAAACACAACATTAGCTGTAGGTGTTACAAACATTTGTGTACATTCAGATTCTTCAGATGTTCTCCCAACTGCCCCTTGTAACTGCTTCACAATAACAGAGTATCAATAAGTAGTACATCATTCCGTACTGGTTTTGGCCAGGGTAGAGTTAATTTTCTTCACAGTAGCTAATATGGGGCTGTGTTTTGGATTTGTGCTATTGTGCTTCAGTTATGGCAATAGAGAGATGGTATTTTTTGTTACTGCTGAGCAGTGCTTACACACAGAGCCAAGGTCTTTTCTGCTTCTCACCCCACTCTGCCACCAAGGTGGCTGGGGATGCACAAGAAATTGGGAGGGCACACACAGAGCTGGGACAGCTGTCCCCAGCTGACCACAGGGATATTCCATACCAGATGGTGTCATGCTCAGCACACAAAACTGGGGAAAGGAGTAAGGGGAGGATGTTCAGAGTGATGGTGCTTGCCTTCCCAAGTATCTGTTACACATGATGGGGCCCTTGCCCTGCTTTCCCGAGGATGGCAGAACACCTGCCTGCTATGGGAAGTAGTAAATTAATTCCTTGTTTTGCTTTGTTTGCATGTTTTTGCTTTATGCTCAGCACACAAAACTGGGGAAAGGAGTAAGGGGAGGATGTTCAGAGTGATGGTGCTTGCCTTCCCAAGTATCTGTTACACATGATGGGGCCCTTGCCCTGCTTTCCCGAGGATGGCAGAACACCTGCCTGCTATGGGAAGTAGTAAATTAATTCCTTGTTTTGCTTTGTTTGCATGTGTGGTTTTTGCTTTACTTACTAAACTGCCTCTATCTCAACCCATGAGTCCTCTCACTTTTGCTCTCCCAGTTCACTCCCACATCCTGACATGGGGTCAGTGAGCAAGTGGCTGTGGGGCTGAACTGCTGACTGGGATTAAATCATGGCACTCACCCTCTCACTACATTTGCCATATTTCTATTTGATATCTATAGTCACCTGACTGACAGTAACAGCAGAGCACATTTCAGAGGCATATTTAGCAGAAAGACAAACGTACTTATTGGTTTGCTCCCTGTTTTCCTTGGTGGAAAGTTTAACTTTTACAGTAGCTTTGTTCTGAAACAAGATATATAAACAAGCAGTGTGTTCTGTTACTGATGGTAAGGTTCAAAACATGCTCTGCACTTCTAATACTTATCTGCAAAATGCTGTGTTTGTACAACCCAGGCATTTTTCCCATCTGTGAAACTTACTATAATGACAGCAAAGTAGGTTAGATAAAGAAACCTAGTCAAATCCCCCAAAATATCTGTATACAAGTTCAATACATATATGAAAGCAACATAGTTTGTTTCCATAAACTCCAAATTTATCTGCACTCACAATCCTACAGTTAAACTCAGTATGTGGAAAACCTGTATTATGAAGTATTGATGAATAGCAAAGTTCATGCTGAGGTTCTACTAACCTTCCTTTTAATGCGTACCAACAAGTCCTCCCGGCCCTGCCTGAAATACGCGTGGCGAAACTCTACCGGACCATCTCGCTCCGGTTTGACAATCCCAGAATCAACATGGACAACTTTACGGAAGCCATCTTTAAAAAAAAAAGAAAAACCTCAAAACCCACATTAAGAAATTCAAACTATGCTGTGACAACTATCCTGTTATCAATTTTGAGGATAAGGCAGTATCCTAGTTGCAGAGAACACAGGGACACTGCTGAAAGGAAATTATAACTAAACATGTATGTACACGATCTAGAACGATGCTAGAAAGCAAAAACCCAGGAACTTACACATGTTTAACTGTCTGACAAAGCTTGCCATGTTGTTGTGCTTGAAGTACTTAGGAAGAATCTCTTTTGCAAATCTCTGTTCATCCAACACCAGGAAACTCTTGCCATTCTAAAATGAGAGAGACACATTAAGCTACTTAAAAGACCATAGTAGAAAACACACAGGGCTTTTAGAATTAATCACCAGATAGGAATGCTTCCTTTGTGCATGCAGTACATTACTTATCTGCTTGCCTACAAGTTTCCAAAACAAAAAGTGTACAAACCCTGCAGTTGCAAAGCAACGGAGTACTATCAATTTACATTGCTCTCTGCATCTGAAGGGGAACATCTCTATTGTTACTTATTGCTTCCTCAGGAAACCAACTGTTTACCAACAATCACCACAGTTTCACTACAGGACAATAGTATCAATTTTGTATGTAGCTGCAAAGAAGTGGTAAGGAATCTAACGAAGAGCCTGTGCAAGGAAAAAATACCAACAACCAGCTGCAAGTCCCACCTGCTTTCCAGCATAAAAGCATGATTAGTTTGATAGGGCTTGAAGAGCAGATGGAGCCATCAAAGAGCTGAGGGTATCCACTGGATTTTGGAGTTACCAAAAAGCTAACTACCCAAGGCAACATCCCCCTTCTCCTGGAATGCCACTTGTGAGGGCAGACTGATCTTTTATTTAATCCACAGGCTTTGACTAAAATAGAAGGATCAGCTCTTTGTTCTTCAATGACTGCACTCCATTAACCACAGGGCAAGTAATCAGCAGAATGCAAATTAGCTACTTCAAGATGGTTTAGGTTTTGTCTGTAGATCCATAGCACTCTCACCCTGTATTTAATGAAAAGTCTATTATCTTCAACAAACATCAACACTGTTACTGCATCTTCTTAGAGCCCTTTAGTTCAACAAGTCACATTTCTTTCTTATCCTCAAATGCCAGCAGTGCCATGATCCCAAGAAGCTTAAAGGACCAACCATAAGACCATGTGAAAATCCTTGTCCAACGGCTTGTGTCCTGGTTTCAACTGGGATAGAATTAACTTTTTCGTAGTAGCTAGTACAGTGCAGTTTAGGATTCAGTATGAGAATAATGTTGATAACACATTGATGCTTCAACTGCTGCTCAGCAGTGCTTACCCTAAATCAAGCCAAGCCCTGCCAGTGAGCAGGTACACAAGAAGCTGGGAGGGAGCATGGCCAGGACAGCTGACCCAAACTGGGCAATAGGCTATTCCACAGCACCAAGCATGATGCTTTGTATGTAAACTGGGGGAGTAACCTGAGAGGGGGGTAATTTCTATTTGCAGATGGGCTGGATATCAGCCAGTGGGTGGGGAGCAATTGTGTTGTGCATCATTTGCTTTTCTTGGGGTTTCTATTTATTACTATTATTATAGTATACTTTACTTAATTTCAGTTATTAAACTGTTCCCATCTCAACTCATTAGTTTTACTGTTTTGACTGGGGTGGGGTGAAGTGAGTAAGTGGCTGTGTCATACTTAGCTGCCAGCTGGGGTTAAACCACAACAGCTTGTTCCTGACAAACCAGTCAGGATCATCAGGAACAGGAGTTTATAAACACCTTACCACTGGATGAATTAGGCACTTAAGATGAAAACTTCCAATAATGCCTACCTACCTCATTAGTTTTACTGTTTTGACTGGGGTGGGGTGAAGTGAGTAAGTGGCTGTGTCATACTTAGCTGCCAGCTGGGGTTAAACCACAACAGCTTGTTCCTGACAAACCAGTCAGGATCATCAGGAACAGGAGTTTATAAACACCTTACCACTGGATGAATTAGGCACTTAAGATGAAAACTTCCAATAATGCCTACCTACCTCCAGAGTCAATC